CTCTCCTCCCCACCCCGGTGTCTTTCCGTTCCTCAAACCAGAGCCTCGGCCTTGTCTAGCGGAGACGGCCTGCCAAAACCTACTCAGAAACGGTTTGATTTCTGTCTCCTCCTCTCTGTGAGAGGGTAATAAATGGGGGGGGGTGTTGCTAAGTGGAACCACATGTGTGCGGCCAGAGAGGATGGTCGGTTGCTCGCTCGCTGCATTCCCAGGTCCGGCCCAGAGTAGAAGGCCTTTCTCAGCTTGCTTTCCTGCTCCTGGGCTTGCCAGATCGCTGTTTACACTCACTGCTGCTCACGAGGAGGCATGGGAACGGGCGCCAAGGCAGCCACTGAGACAATGGCCCTGCTCCCCAGACCCGCAACCTGTTCCACTTTCCTTCTCCAGCAGTGTTGGGGGGGAGCAACCCATAATGCACTGGGGCTGCCAACACTGGCTTCTTGAGAGCCACTTTGGTGTAGTGGTTAGGAGCACGGGCTCTAATCTGGGAGAACCGGGTTTGATTCCCCACTCCTCCACATGCAGCTGTTGGTGTGACCTTGGGGGAGTCACAAGTTCTCTCAGAGCTGTTCTCTCAAAAGCAGTCCTCGAAAGAGCTCTCTCAGCCCCACCTACCTCACAGGGTGTCTGTTGTGGGGAGGGGAAAGGAGACTGTAAGCCGCTCTGAGACTCTGTGTGAAATTCGGGCTATAAATCTAACTATAAATTTAGTTAGTTGGCTCCGCCCCAAGTGTAGTTAGGTAATTTTTAATCTCTGGGCTCAGCCTGGGTTTTATGTGACTGTTATTATGTACCTTGACATATTTATGTCTATTTTATGTACCTATTTTACCCCCCTTTGGTATCCTCTTGGTCAAGACTTCGGTCATAAAGACCTGTAATAAATTGAAATTGAAAATCCTTTCTCTTCTCTGTCTTCTCTTCTTCTGAAATACCTGGAGATTTAAGGGCGGAGTCGGATGGGGAGGGGTTTAGGGAGGGAACTCAGCAGGGTATAATACCATATAGTCCACCTTCCCAAACAAGGCATTTTTTCCAGGAGAAGTAGAAAAAATCTTTTATAATTTATTTATAATTGCGGGGGGGGGGGTCTCCAGCCCCCACCTGGAGGTTGGCAAGCCTACAATTTACTAGGCCAAAAGGAGGCTAAATTACTAAAGCAGTCTAACTTTCTGTCCTCACGATTTACACAGGTGAACTGTCTTCCGTGCTAAAGAATTCCCTGCATGTAGAAAATGAGCGTATCAAGGAGAACAATCTCTTCTTCTTCTTCCCGTCTTCATCTAGAGCAGTGGTTCTCAACCTTCCTAATGCCGCGACCCTTTAATACAGCTCCTCATGTTGTGGTGACCCCCCAACCATAAAATTATTTTCATTGATACTTCATAACTGTGATTTTGCTAGTTACGAATCACAATTTGGCGAGAGTTGGGAGCCTTATCCAAAATTTGTGTTTTCCGATGGTCTTAGGCAACCCCTGTGAAAGGGTTGTTCGCCCACCAAAGGGGTCGCGACCCACAGGTTGATAACTGCTGATCTAGAGGATGGTGCGGAGTTGTTTTCTGTTGCCCCAGAAGGTCGGACCAGAACCAACAGGCTGAAATTATATCAGAAGAGTTTTTGGCTAAACATGAGGAAGAACTTCCTGGCAGTTGGAGCGGTTCCCCAGTGGAACAGGCTTCCTCGGGAGGTGATAGGCTCTCCTTTGGAGGTTTTCAGGCAGAGGCTAAGTGGCCGTCTGACAGCAGTGCTGATTCTGTGAACTTGGGCAGATCACGAGAAGGGAGGGCAGGAAGGGTTGTATCAGTCAGTGCTTAGTTCTCGTGGCCTTTTCTTACCCGCCCAGGGAAATGGCCACTTTGGGGTTCAGGAAGCAATTGTTCTCCAGGCCAATTTGGCTAGGAATCCTGGGGGGGGGGGGTTGCCCTCTTCTGGGCACAGAGTAGGGGTCACTGGAGGTGTGTATGTGTGTAAGGTAGTTATGAATTTCCTGCATTGTGCAGGGGGTCGAACTAGATGACCCCGGGTGTCCCTTCCAACTCTGTGATTCGATACCTTGTGGCTAACAGCTACTGATGGACCTCTGCTCCCTATGTTTATCCCGTCCCCTCCTGAAGCCATCTAGGCTGGTAGTGTAGCCGCCACCTCTTCCTGCGGCAGTGAATTCCATGTGTTCACGACTCTTTGGGTGAAGAAAACAGGGCTTTGTTGCTTGCCCCTGGCGGAGCAACAGCGGTTTGTTGCGCAAGCCACGGTTTGTTCATGGCACCGGAGTGCAGTCTTACAGGGCCGTCCGCAGCTGAGTCCCACCCTCCTGACCCCATGGACTCCAGGGATGTAGACTGCAATCCTAAACAGAGTTAGGCCCTTCTGAGTTGCCCGTTTCTTTGGAGGCCCAGTGGAACGCTGGTGCTGAAACGGCAGGTAGTGTGAGTTCATCTGCCTGATTATTCCCTCCCGTCCTTTTTTTGTTTGTTTGTTTCCATCTGCAAGACGTAAATAACTCTCGAGGAGGGGGAATCTGCGTCCCGAAGAAGGGAACCGTTGGGCTGCTTATGTCAGGGACGCTGACGGCCTTGCCTAATTTATGATATTAATTTCTGTTCCTGGCCTTCCTTACCGCCCACTCGGAGCTCTCCAAATGGCTTTTTTTTTTGCTTTGCTTTGCTTTGTTTTGTTTACTTCTGTCGGGAATCCTTTTAATAGTTACTCGGATTCCATGTTCCTTTCTGCATTCTGAGAACGTCGAGGTTTCCTGGCTGGATCAGAGCGAAGGGCCTGTCGGCTCTGGCATCCTGTGGCCGCCAGGGATCTGCCGAACACGGAGGCAAGAGACCTCCCTCGTGAATCAAATAGTTCGGAAGTCCACGCCTCTTTGGTGGTGGCAGGAAGCGCCACCAAGTCGTAGCCAACGTTTGGCAACCCTGTCGGGTTTTCAAGGCAAGAGAGGTTCAGAGGCGGTTGGCTGTGGCCTGCCTCTGCGTAGCAACCCCGGGCTTCCTTGGGGGGTCTCCCAATCCAAGTACTAACCAGGGCCGACCCTGCTTAGCTTCCCAGATCCGACAAGAATTAGGCTAGCCTGGGGCATCCAGGTCGAGGCAAGAGACAGAGGTGGTTTGTGGTTGTCTGCCTCTGCACAGCAACCCTGGGTTTCCTTGGTGGTCTCCCCTCAAAAGCACTACCCAGGGCTGGCCCTGCTTAGCTTCTGAGATCTGACAAAATTGGTCTGTCTTGGGCCATCCAGATCAGGGCAGACAAACAGTTTGCCCTTGCCTGCCTCTGCGTAGCAACCCTGGGCTTCCTTGATGGGCTCCCATCCAAATACTAAGCAGGGCGAATCCTACTTAGCTTCCAAGATCTAACAAGGCTGGGCTAGCCTGGGCCATCCAGGTCAGGGCAGAGACGCGCAGAGGAGGTTTGCCCTTGCCTGCCTCTGCGTAGCAACCCTGGGCTTCCTTGATGGGCTCCCATCCAAATACTAAGCAGGGCGAATCCTACTTAGCTTCCAAGATCTAACAAGGCTGGGCTAGCCTGGGCCATCCAGGTCAGGGCAGAGACGCGCAGAGGAGGTTTGCCCTTGCCTGCCTCTGCGTAGCAACCCTGGGCTTCCTTGATGGGCTCCCATCCAAATACTAAGCAGGGCGAATCCTACTTAGCTTCCAAGATCTAACAAGGCTGGGCTAGCCTGGGCCATCCAGGTCAGGGCAGAGACGCGCAGAGGAGGTTTGCCCTTGCCTGCCTCTGCGTAGCAACCCTGGGCTTCCTTGATGGGCTCCCATCCAAATACTAAGCAGGGCGAATCCTACTTAGCTTCCAAGATCTAACAAGGCTGGGCTAGCCTGGGCCATCCAGGTCAGGGCAGAGACGCGCAGAGGAGGTTTGCCCTTGCCTGCCTCTGCGTAGCAACCCTGGGCTTCCTTGATGGTCTCCCATCCAAATACTAAGCAGGGCGAATCCTACTTAGCTTCCAAGATCTAACAAGGCTGGGCTAGCCTGGGCCATCCAGGTCAGGGCAGAGACGCGCAGAGGAGGTTTGCCCTTGCCTGCCTCTGCACAGCAACCCTGGAATTCCTTGGTGGTCTCCCATCCAGGTACAGACCAGGGCCTTCCTTGCTTACCTCCCAAGCCCAGATGAGCTTGGGCTAAACTGGGCTATTCAGGCTGCTTGACTACCTACAGATCTTCTCAAATGGTGGTGCCGGAAAGCTCCATCAAGTCACAGCCAGTTTATACTCCAAGGCAAGAGACATTCAGAGGTGTCTTGCCCTTGCCTGCCTCTGCCTAGCAACCCTGGGCTTCCTCGGTGGTCTCCCATCCAAGAACCAACCCGGGTCGACCCTGCTTAGCTTCTGAGAGCTGACAAAATTGGTCTAGCCTGGACTATCCAGTCCAGAGCCCTTCTTTACCTGTGGTGTTGCTAAGTTGGGGTCCTTTAGACCCCAGTGACTTGCATGCGGAGTGTGTCCCGCTCTTCACGCCAGTACCTTTAAGCACGGGGGTTAACTGGATATGCCGGGAATCGAACCTGGGACTTCCTGCATGCCAGGCACGGTCTCAGCGGCTGAGCCACTGGGGCGCCCACAGTTGACCGCGTCCCCTTGAGAGATTGTTTGCCACCTTGTCGATCCCGCTGAAGCTTCTGCCGCCAGAGAAAGGGACTGGAATACAGTTGCCAAGTTTCGCGACCCGCCTTCCGGCAGGGCTTGGGTGGGAGGCCTTCTCTGCCGGGGGGCCTGCAGGTCCAACCTCTGCGGTTTTAATAATTGATGGGATCTCAGCACCGTTTTATGACTCTTCCCGTCAGGGATGTCGAAGCCCATAAACCGCGGACCGTTAACGTTTCGGGCTGTCTGTGCCAAATGCCAGCTCACTGCCCCTGAGCCGGACGCAGTCTGGAATGCTTTGGCGCTGGTGAAGCAGGATCCGTCCCCGGCCAGGCGGCGCCCTGACCCCTGAGAGGATGTGACCTCTCGCATTCTGTATGGATTCGTGAGAATAATATGCAAAGATTCGGTTATCGTCTTCGGTCGAACGACGTTTCGCACAGTGGCGAATCTCTCAGTGTCTTCCCCTCTCCCCAAGTAGCTAATTTTGGTCTAGAGCCCGTGGGGCCTGCCGGGACATTGCCTGGCACCCATCAGGTGTTTTCGGAAAGTGCGCAGGGCCAAGTGGGGCCGATTCACTGTGCAGATTAAAAGGCGTGCTGTGAAACAGAGTGTCTGCCTTAAACGTTGAAGACTTTACTTTGAGAGGTATGCATAATCTCACCCCCTGACATTTTGTGGCTGGCGCCACCTCCTGCAGCAGCCATTTTTTCGGGTGTGCCCCCCATCTTGTGTCGGAATTCTAAAGGTGCCTTCAGGCTGAAAAAGCCCAGGGATCCCTGCTCTATGGATTACGTTGACCTATGTGAGTCAGCTTTTCTCTAGGCCGTGGTTCCCAAACATTTTGAGCCTGCAGGCAGTTATGGAATTCTGACACAGCATGGCGGGCAGAGTCACAGAACGGCTGTCACAAAATGGCTGCCGCAGGAGGTGAAGCCAGTCACAAAATGGCTGCCGCAGGAGGTGAAGCCAGGCCTCACAAAATGGCTGCCACTGGAGGCGAAGCCAGTCACAAAATGGCTGCCACTGGAGGCGAAGCCAGTCACAAAATGGCTGCCACTGGAGGTGAAGCCAGTCACAAAATGGCTGCCACTGGAGGTGAAGCCAGTCACAAAATGGCTGCCGCAGCTTCCCTTCAGTCATACAGTGACGATCCTTGTGCCGTGGTGGCTGCCAAAGCTACATTTTTACAAACCAGCATAGCCAGTCAAATCTCCAGTGGCCAGTCAGAAGCTTTGCTGGGCCAAAGTCCCACCTGCTTTCTAAAAACATTTGGCACGCACCAGAAAACGTGTCCGTGAATGCTACGGTCGAGAAGTTTGACATATATATATTTTTTGTGAGCGAAAGGTGAATGTTTAAAGAAGCTGAAATCAGCACACTTGCTTTTCTCCATTCCGCTTCTGCAAAACTGCCTGATAATTAAGCATCCCTTTTTGCCCCAAACATCCTGTCCAAGTTATTGCCTCGTATTGTTTTTTAAAGAAAGCAGTTTTTTTCGAACATCCACGCCGATCAAATTCGTAGTCTCCAGCCGGACAGACGCGGGGGTGCATGCCGTATGTAACACTGCCCACTTTGATATAGAGAGGAAACCGGGGTGGCCTCCTTTCTTCGAAAACGCCCTTGTCAAGTCTCTTAACCTCTCCCTCAAGTCTGAGCCAATCCGGTGAGTTTACCCCAAAATACAAACTCTTGTGCATTTAATCCTCAAGATAGGGCGGGCCAAACTCCCCATGGCTCAGCTCAGAATTGGCTTTATAATTCCGAGCTTTGAGCATTTAGAAAAGGTCTCTCTCTCTCTCTCTGTCTCTGTCTCTCTGTGTCTGTCTGGCTATCTGTCTGTCTCTCTCCAAGCTGTCTTCTGGTCTGTAAAGTTAATAGAAGCGTGCTGATGGTGCCATGCATGTGCTTTTTACCGCACGGGACCCTGGGAATTGTCGTTCTCAGGACCCGCTAGGGCAGAGGGTTGCATGAAGATATAACTGCCTGTCATCCCCTCTGTTGTGTATAGAGGTCATTTCGGGGGGGAACGCGGGGGAACGCAGTTCCCCTGGGTAAGGTACGGGGGGTGGGGCACATGACGAAGCCCTGCCCCCTGCTTCCGGCCCTCATTCAGCCAGGAGGAGGCAGGAGAAGAGGGAGGTCCTTCGCAGGGCTTCCTTGCACTCCCGCCAGCCTTGCAGGTCCACCGCCGGGCCCCTCATGGGGCTTGGCAGTGGAGCTGCAAGGCCGGCACCGGCGGCTGGGACCGTTGGGGGCGGGGTGTGTGGCCTTATGACACATTTCCGGTGATGTCAGGAGGTGTGGCATATGCTAATGAGTTATGCTAATGAGTTTCTCTAGCTCTTTTTCTACGAAATGACCCCTGGTTGTGTATGAAATGGAATGTATAAATGTATTGAGCTTGAGCCTGACCAAGGTATTGTAAACCGACCTATCAGAACAAAGGAAGTTCTGGAAGGACGCAAAGTGATTGGTCTTTATGTATTGTATTTGATTGAACCTTATCTGACATGTGGGCGTGGCTTGCCAAGCCCGGACTGTTTCAAAAGGAGCCTGTTGCTCCATTGTAGAACTGGCAAATGAATCTAGCAGAAGGGTGCGTGGCTCAGCGGTAAAGCACCTGCTTGTCACACAGAAGGTCCCGTGTTCAATCCTCGGCGTCTCCAATCAAAAGGACCAAGTAGTAGGTGATTGGAAAGACCTCTGCCTGAGACCCTGGAGAGCTGCTACCGGTCTGAGTAGACAATACTGAACTTGATGAACTGAGGGTCTGATTCAGTAGAGGGCAGCTTTGTGTGTTCATGGGACTCAGTGCTGACTTTGACTTGATTTATACCCCGCCCTCCCCGCCAAAGCAGGGTCAGGGCGGCTTACGAGGCCATTGGCAATAAGACAGTAAAACAATAAAACAGTAATATCATAAAAATGCAGTAGTATCAAAAATACAAGGTGCTATATATATGCGATATATATATTGAGCTGCGGTGGCTCAAGTGGTTAAGACGCTGAACTACAGGCTGTGGAAGGTCGGTAGTTCAGCAGTTCGAGACCCGGGTGCCGCATGACGAAGTGAGCTCCCGTCTCTAGTTCCAGCTCCTGCCAACCTAGCAGTTCGAAAGCAAGAAATTGCAAGTAGATAAATAGGTACCACTTCGGTGGGAAGGTAACAGAGTTCCGTGCGCCTTGGTGTTTAGTCATGCTGGCCACATGACCACGGAAACGTCTTCGGACAGCGCTGGCTCTTCGGCTTTGAAACGGCTTTGAGCACTGCAACCCTAGAGTCGGATTCGACTGGCTTTCGAGCAAGGGAACCTTTACCTTTATATATATGCGATGGCAGGAACTGTTCTAATCAACCACAGTAGATTCAGCACTCGTTATATGGCTGGTGTTTGGCTCCTGGGCACGTCATTCCTCCGTACAGGTCCGGATATTAGAGCAGGCGGCCAGGGTGGATTAAAGGGCCTAGCTTACTTGGTTGATGTTAAACAGTTTGCTCAAACGCTTGGCGGAAGAGCTTCGTCTTGCAGGCCCTGTGGAATTGTGGTAGATGCCGCAGGGCCCCGATGCTCTCCGGGAGCTCATTCCACCAAGCGGTGCTGTCGCCGAGAAAGCTCTGGCCCTGGTCGTGGCCAGCCTGACATCTTTCAGGCCAGGGAGAGGGAGGAGATTTTGTGATCTCGAACGCAGTACCCTCTGGGAAACATATGGGGAAAGGTGGCCCCTCAGGTATGCACCCTACCATCATCAAGAGAGCTTTAGTGTGGCGTCTGAATTGACTCAGGTGGCAAACCGGAGTTGGGAAGCCAGTGTTTGTTGTGCAAATTGTGGTTTGGCATAGCGGCAACCTGAAATTGCTCATCTTGATCTGGGCTCTCAAGTGGAGCTGTGGAAAACTATGGTTTTGTGTCCTGTCTGAACTGGATCTCCGTCAGGCCAGGAACGTGGGCAGTTGTACCAGAGAGATCTGAGGAATCCTTGAGATCAATCCAGAATCCTTGAGATCAGCTGCTGGAATGCAGGATACCAAAGGCGGAGGAAGGAGCTCTCGATATGCTAGGCCTGCCCAATCCAGAGGCTTCACACTGCCGGCCAGTCACAGGGCCCAATGTTGCATAGCCCTCCCCTTCAGCACCCCTTCAGACTCGGGGGCCTGAGCGTATGTACTGAAACTGCGCTTGCTGGTTCAAGCCCTGAAGTCCCCGGGCAAATTCTAAACAGGGCCGAAATTTCGTTCACCCTCAGCGACAGAAAGTCCAGTAAAAATATATCCCGCCATCCTGGGAGAACGTTGGCTTGTGAAGCCGCGTTCTTCCACTTCACTGATTTCTTACTCTTCCAAGAAGTCCAGAGGAGGAGAGGAGGAAGGTTCGTTCCCAGCCCGTCACGGTGACTTCCTTTCGACATGACCTGGAGGCGGGTGGCAGGTTCCGAACCTTTGTTGTTCCTTTGTAATTGCAAACTCTTGGAATTGCAAACTGTTTGCGCTGTGCTTTCCTTGATATGCGTCCAGTGGAAAAAGTGAGCTTTGAAATTGGATTTAGAGGGGGAATACGGGAACCTTGCCATAACCTTTAACACTTTCAAAGAAGAAGTGAGGCTTGGAACTCTCACAATGGACTTGTTGCATGGAAAAGATGGGCTTTCTGCCCAGGAAGTAAGCTCTGTGCCTTACTACTAGTGTGTGGGTTATACACTGCAGTGGTTAGGGAGGGGCTACGGCTCAGGGGCACAGTGCCATCTTATGGTCATAAGACCATCAGAAGAGCCCTGCTGGATCAGACCAGTGGTCCACCTAGTCCAGCATCCCGTCTCACACAGTGGCCAACCAGTTCCTCTGGAGAGCCAACAACAAGGCAGAGAGGCCGAGGCCTTCATTAGAACATCAGAAGAGCCCTGCGGGATCAGACCAGTGGTCCATCTAGTCCAGCCTCCTGTCTCACACAGTGGCCAACCAGTTCCTCTGCAGAGCCAACAACAGGGCATTAGAGGCTGAGACCTTCATAAGACCATCAGAAGAGCCCTGCTGGATCAGATTAGTGGTCCATCTAGTCCAGCATCCTGCCTCACACAGTGGCCAACCAGTTCCTCTGGAAAGCCAACAACAGGGCATTAGAGGCCGAGGCCTTCCCCTGACGTTGCCTCCTGGCTCTGGGATCCAGAGGTTGACTGCCTCTGAATGTGGAGGTTCCCGTTAGTCACCATAGCTAGTGGCCATAGATGGACTTCTCCTCCATGAATCTGTTGAATCCTTTTTAAAGCTGTCTATTCCTATGACCATCGCTACATCCTCTGGCAGCGAATTCCGCATTTTCATCACTCTCTGTGTCAAGTAGTATTTCCTTTTGTCCATCCTGAACCTACTGCCCACCAGCTTCATTGGATGCCCTCGAGTCCTAGCTTGGTGTGCAGAGGGTCCTGAGTTCGATTCCCCACCATCTCCAGTTAAAGGATCACGCATGGTGGAGCAAGCGCTTTCTTTGCTGGAGACCTTGCTTAATGGCTGCCGATCAGAGGACAGTTGAGAGCTAGACGGATCATTGGTCCACCTCCGTACGAAATGTCATCCTGCTCGGAATGGGGACGTAGGCACTCTGTACACGCTCAGATGCATTTTTGAGACACAGTAGCTGTCACGAGGACTTCAGAATGAATAGCCTCGGCCAGAGATCTCTTTGTGGCTGACCTCACTGTACGCACGAAGTTTCACAAGCCATGAAATCCCCTGACAAGATTGATCAAGATGGGTAGCCGTGTCAGTCTGTCTGTAGCAGTAGAAAAGAGCAAGAGTCCGGCAGCACCTGAAAGATTTACAACTTTTGCGGCCAGTTAGGAGCTTTCCTGAGTCACTGCTCACTTCTTCAGGAAGCTGATACCCTGACAAGATTGTGGCACTCTTGTTTATTTTGAGGAGGGTTGTAAGAGGCACCTTTTTTGTTCTTTGAGAGCCAGTTTGGTGTAGCGGTTAAGAGTGCGGACTCTAAGCCTTCCCCAAGCTTCACCCCCAAATCTCCAAGAAGTTCCCAACCTGGAGTTGGCAACCCTGTAGTTTCCCTGCCCCGGAGCGAGAGCCGTGCGTGCCTCGATCGGCCTGATGTTTCTTTCCCCCTTAATGGCTCTGAGCCGTTGTCATGGATCCCGTTCCAACCGTGGGCACAATCCAAGTCGCAACGCCTACTCCCGAAAGGCATTACTGCTGGGGAGGGAGGGAGGGGGAAAGAGTTTACAAAACCCGCCCCCCCCCCCCCCGAAAGTTGGGGAAATGGCTCCCCTTGCCAATGACTTTGGGAGAGTATTATCTCATTCCCCGCCTACGGCTGCCAGCGGTGTTTGTATACCTGCAGTCACACTGCAGTGGTTGTGGATGCCACCAGTTGCTGAGGAGACCGGGGGGGGTGTGCATTGGGGGGGGGGGGGGGGAATTTTAAGAGACAAAGCTGCCTTCTACCACATTGCCTGCTCTGAATGAACAGTGCCTCACCTGGGTCTCGCATAGAGACGAGTCTTTCCTTTTTTTAAAAAATATATATATTTATTTTAGAAAGTAAGGTATAATACAGAGGGGGTACCGAAGGAAAAGAGGGATTCTAGAACAAGTTGGATATGTCAAGATGATTGTACATCACAGGGATATATAGGGGGGGAAAGGAAATATTTCTCCCC